ATATGGTCAGTGGTTCACGGGTTTAAAGAGTCAGCTGATCGCGTTGTATCAAAGAGCTTTGTTGTGTCATCTCAACCGTTGCTGGACCGTCTGAAACAAACAAGCGCATGATGAGACTAATACTCTTTATTACCTGTACTTTTTGAAAGATAAAAAATAGTATTCATTTGATACGAAAAATACTCAGATAGGCAAGACCGTACCAAGAGTGAAATGGACATCATTTCCAGTTTCCTTCCTGGCTTCTTCCACTGCACGCTTCACAGCAAACAGACATGCGCATGACATGGTAGATGGAGGTTCTCCAGAAGCTGCAACATTCAGAGAGATCCTTAGAAGAAGTGGTGTCTAGGTTTACGGCTGATTCGTTTGTTGGATGATTGGGTCGCTGATGGTACTCATGGGCGTTAAGGTTTGGGTCAGTCGGCCATTCTTCACAATTTTAGTTAAATTTGGATTTCTTTCTTTGTTTTAATAGTGTAACCATGTAACTTTGACACAGGTTAGTTTTCAACGAAGGTTCAAAATTTTTGTTACCAGAAGGGCATTCCGTTAGTCACGTGACCATCTACGTAGTTTGGGAAAACTCCAAATTTCAAGAGAAAATGGGGTGAAAAATTTGACCATTGGTACAAAATATGTTGTTAGATTACTCTAGTATATGTCTTTCAAGTCCAGCCTAGATTGGTTGTCCATCATGGACTGTTTAGGAGATATTTGCCTAAAAGGGTCACGTGACCTATGGACGTATTTATTAATATGCATTATTCTCCTCTTACCATTTCAATGAATTCGTCCAATCTAGGCTATAACACATGTGAATATATGTACTTAACATTTTAAAACATAAAAATGTCTGAATTTAATGCAATAAATATACCCCATTTTTGTTTTACGGCCATATTGGTCACGTGACCACCAAAATTTCAAAAATTTCCTAATTAAAATGTTAACAATCCCAATAGCAATTTGGGGCACAAAATTTATTTTACTACATCAAACAATGGTCGAATTATCGCAATTTTAGTATATTTCAGATTATTTCCACTGGTTGTCTGGTTCGCATTGTCTGGTTCGTTGATTTATCAGTGAGTTGAAGATAAAGATCTATAAATATTCTTCTTACCTTTGGATCCTAAGACACCTAGAGGGTTTGGTGCATCTTTGAGAAATGTAACCCTCAGATCTACAGGAATGTCTTTGGTTGTTGGAGGTTTGTATGTCTACGAAATTTCCAAAAAAGGAAAAGTTWTGTTATACGATGATACAATAAATGTTTTTGACGGTGAMGGKKGTAAGATACCCTGGTTCCAGAGGTTTCTCTGTGTTATTCTCTGTGTAAAATATCTCTGTTCTTCGCCGGGAAGCGTCGA